CAGAGATGGGGTCCTGAGGGATGGGGTTCTAAGGATAGGAAGGGATCCAACGGGTGGATCCGCACTGTTTGAGGCACCTCGTCCGCAGGACCCCATGCCTCAGGAGCCCTTCTCTGAGCCACCGAGGAGCGCCTCCCGCGCAGGGCTGTTCAGGAGGGAATGAAGACACGGACACGAAGAAATCGTCGGCTCCCCTGAAGATGCTGGAAGGGGAGGTGGCGGGGAAAACGAAGCCCAGAAAGTGCTGAAAGATATTGGGGGATCCTTGGATCCGAGTATATTTACAGTCAACCCGCATTGGGTACCCTTGCATCCTTTCCCTTGGGCCCATCCCTGGCCGCCTTTGCCGTCCGCGCCCCGCCCCCCAAGCGTCGGCATGGCCCTCCAAGGCCCTTGCAGCCTTACCGCGCATTCTTATGATACGGGTTGACTGTAGCCATCGGCCGTTGAAATTAGGCTTATTTTTGGACTGTCAGATTCCAGTCTGCTTCAGCCACCTTCCTGCTTCAAGAGTCGAGTGTTTTCCTTCTTCCCTCCTCCACAGGAGGCGGGCGGAAAACCTATCTTCTTCCAACGCCTTCTTTTTATTCCTTATTTTGCCGATCGGCGCGGGCCCTCGCAACCCCCCCTCCCCCCCCCCCGTGGAGTACATCTTGGCTGTTTTTGGCGCCTGTTTCGAGCAGGTGGAGCCTCCCCCACAGGACGCACGGTCCCAAACAGTGTCAGTGAGCAGAGGCCCGGAGCCAGGCCACCCCCCCCTTCCCCCCTTTACGCCAAATGTCGAAACGCCGAGCAAACAAAAACGCTCACTGTTCGTGCTCCCGCCTGCTTGCTTCATCTTCCATGTCCGTGGCTTCATCCTCCATGCCCGTGGTGTGGGATAGCCCCCTTGAGGGGCAGCGGATTCTCCCTCCTGCCTTGCTTATATTTTTTGTTAAAATAATTTTTTGTACACAAAAAAACACCCAAAAAAAAACAATATAAAACCAAACAAAACAAACAAACAAAAAAAAAAAAAAAAAAACGTGTTCCCGCCTGCTTCTTCCGACCGATGGGTGCTCGCGTGCCCCTCTGCCCCTCTTCTGGTGCTGCGCTGGCAGGCCCGTGGGGGCACCGACCGCGGGTCCCTTTCGGCGGGGGCGGCGGCCTTTGGGGGGCACACCGAGCTGCCTCGGGAGACGCCGCGTTTGCGCCGGGGGCCCGGTGGGCCCCGGAAGCGGCAGGCCCGTTTTTTCTCGGAGGTGGATAGACCTCCTACCCTGACATGTCGATTGAGGAACTGGCCGTTTTCGGTTCGCGAGAGGGCGTCGCAGCCGTCATTTTTGCGGGTCCAGGTCCGGGGAGGTCTACTAAGGGGAGGTTTGTCCACCGCCGATTTTCACCGTTTCCGAGAAAGCGTCTCTTGAGAGTGGAAGCGGGAAGAAAACGGCGATTGGAAACGGCAAAAAAAACGGCTCCAGGCTCAGAGTTGAGCCAGGGCGGGCAAAGAAAGACGCGGCGACGGAACCGAAAGAGAAAGGGCGTCGGATCGGGCAAGAAAACGGCAAAACGAAGCCAGTAAAAAAAAACGGCAGGGCACGGGCAACGATAGGGGGGATAGGCAAGGGGGGTGGGGCGCATCGACCAAAACGTTGCAGCATCGGGGAAAGTCACGACCGAAGCCCTGGACCCAATCTTCTTGCGTCAGTTTTCGAGCTGAGGATCGATCAGTAAGGGCCCCGCGGCCCGAAATTGGACAAAAACGCTTGGTGTGAAGAAATTGCAACGCCAGGATATCGGGACCCTTTCTACCCAGACCCCCGACGTCATGATTTTTTCCAGAACGTCGACCCCCAGAGGTCTCGACCCACCAATCGCTCATTCATCGCCGATACGGGCCCGATAGCCCACCCCCGCCCAGGAAGGTGTGGGTTCACTATCGGGGGCCCATCGCCGATCAGCCACCGATGTATCGCCGATTCCAGGTCGATGTTTCCCCCCCTCTGCCAATCCCCCGCTATCGTTGCCCCCAAGTGCGTTTTGCCACAACTCTCCAGGCCGCCCAACTGTCCAGTTTCGTCGAACCGATCCCGGCGGCGACAGCGACAGGGATGCGCCAGTCCGCCTCCTCGTCCTCTTGAGCCCGGAGCCCAACAATTTGGTCAGCTTCCGATTTGGCTACTTCCGATCGGCTTCCGATTTGACTGCTTCTGTGGCGCGTCATTCCGCCAGGCCGTTGAGAGGCGCGATCGACCGCCGATCCGCTCGGACAAGCGAGAGCAACAAAAAAGCAAAAAAAAGTATCGTTGAACCGATGCCCCTCCCCATCCCCATCCTGATACCCACCACCCCGCCACCTCAGTTGGAGATATGCCCCTCGAAACCCGAAGTGAGCAGCCTATATCCCCATCCAGGGGGGGGTAAGTTAGCCAGTGGGGCCCAGGCCACGCCAGTGGAGACAGGGATCGGTTCAAGGATGCTCAGATGGAGTCGGAGAATCGCGCCCCATCGCCGATGCATCGGCGACGCGGCGCGATTTGGAGACCGATTTTCTGGCGATGCGGCGGGATCCTCCAACCGCATCTACCCTGATCCCGTGTTGGTGGCCTCCAGATCTTGAACGCGGGAACGCTTTTGACGCTTTCTGGGTTGCCAGGAACTCCTGGAGGCTTCCGAAAGCCTCCAGAGGCCACCAGAGGCCTTAGCCACCTCCAGGGACCTCCACGGACTCCTGGGCGTCGTGGAAAGACCGCGCCGCGGGCTTTCTTGCCCAGGTCCAGACTCCCCAGAACCTCCAGGACCGGTCCCGCTCGAGAAATTCCGTGCAAGGATGGTGTCGATGGTTTCGGTCGTGATTCTCGCTTCGACGCCCAACGACAAGTTTTCTGGCACAGCGCAGATTCTGAAGCGCTTTGATGTTGTTGTTGGCTTGGCCAAGGCGCGACGTCGCGGTTCTGGTCGACCCGTCGCGATCGCAGGATACGCCGGACTTGTCGGGGTTCCTGAGGCCGGCTCGTGACAAATATAGGCCGCTCAAGCGCTCAAGGAGGTGTCTCCTTGTCGACAGTGCCAGGGGGTGACGTTTGCCCCCTCGGTCGACGAGTCGTGATCGCGCGCTCTGCCTGACCTGTCGGAGTTCCGGAACATTTGTGGCAAATAAGCTTCAGCAGGGATCAGGGTTGCTCCAGCCAGAGACGGTCCCCAGACATGCGACGTCCTGGTTTTTTCAACACGGGGCCCCCGGAAGTCCCGACCCTTTCCCCGGGACCGGTTTTTCATCCTGAGTCGTTTTGTTGACGGTCCCGAGGCCCGGCGAGGCGCCCCTGGGGCCAGAATCGGCCAAAAATTTCCCGACCCGGTTTCTGTTACAACGCGACCATGCCTGGGGGTTGTTCTGGCCTTAAGTCGGGCATGTCCCACTACAGGGGGAATGTCCAAGAAAAGTCAAAAATAGTCTGGGGACGATGTTTCGATTATTTGTTGACTCTTCTGGAGCATTTTTCTACTATTCCTGATTTTTCGCCCACTCCGCCTGTAGGAGGACACGCCCGACCTGGTCCTAGCCAGAGACAGCCCAGGCTGGCATCAGCAGGCCCCAAGGTGAAGAGACCCGGGCGGTGTTCAGCACCCAGGGCCACCTCCAGCTGCGCCCACCGGGGCGCTCTGCGCCCCAGGGGCTGGGTGTTGAGACCGCTTCGGAATACACCTTCGGGTCTGTGGAAGGCGGTCAAGAAGATACCTCTAGCACATCTCTGATCGCAACCCCGCGTCAGACCGAGCTCGAAGAAGAAAAACCCTGCGTTAGCCCTAGCTCGGAGCGCCAAAAGTTGATGTTTATGTCGTTTCTCTACATTATTACTCTTCTTAGTATTACTAGTATTACCAGTATTACTAGTATTACTAGTATTACTACTATTACTAGTATTACTAGTAGTAGTAGTAGTAGTAGTAGTAGTAGTAGTAGTAGTAGTAGTAGTTGTAGTAGTAGTAGTAGCAGTAGTAATAGTAGTAGGAGTAGGAGTAGTAGTAGTAGTAGTAGTAGTAGTAGTAGTAGTAGTAGTAGTACTAGTACTAGTACTAGTACTAGTACTAGTACTAGTACTAGTACTAGTACTAGTTAGTAGTACTAGTACTAGTACTAGTACTAGTACTAGTAGTAGTAGTAGTAGTAGTAGTAGTAGTAGTAGTAGAAGTAGTAGTAGTAGTAGTAGTAGTAGTAGTAGTAGTGGTAGTGGTAGTGGTAGTGTAGTGGTAGTGGTAGTAGTAGTAGTAGTAATAATAGTAGTAGTAGTAGTAGTAGTAGTAGTAGTAGTAGTAGTAGTAGTAGTAGTAGTAGCCGTGGTGGTGGTGGTAGTAGCAGTCATAGTAGTAGTAGTAGTAGTAGTAGTAGTAGTAGTAGTAGTAGTAGTAGTAGTAGTAGTGGTAGTGGTAGTGGTAGTGGTGGTGGTAGTGGTAGTGGTAGTAGTAGTAGTGGTAGTAGTAGTAGTAGTAGTAGTAGTAGTAGTAGTAGTAGTAGTAGTAGTAGTAACCTTATTTCTAATAGCATTCGTATTATTTGTCTATGTTCGCAACCCTGCGTCAGCCCTAGCATGGACAGATGGTCTGGGAGACGTCAGATGCGTGGGCGCCCGAGTGTCAGGGTGTCTTGCAAACAGGGCACGAAAAGGACGCACAAGCCTCCACCCACTCCCCCCTTCTGGAGAGGGGGGCCAGATGAGGTTGGGGGTGCTCCTTTGCTCCCCTGTTTGGGGTGCGTGGAACGTCGTGCGGCGATCGAGGCATTTTCGGAAAATAGTCACGGTTCTAACACCCTTGCCTCTTCCTTCATTGTTGTTCGCAGAACAGTGTGTTCTTCTGGTCGTTACGGGACCCCCAGGATCGACAAAATCGGTCGAATGTCTGATGTATGATGTTCGAGGTTTCTGGCGTTGCCACGCTCGACCCGCCTGCTTTCAATCTCAGACTGTTATCTTTCCCGTTCCTCGTGGTCATCGCTCTTGTTCCTCCCATTGGCCGGGAAGGCAATCTGCGACACCGCCATCGGGAGCTTCGTGGCAATATCCACCGTGAGCTTTGTGGAGCGCTCAGCGCCGTCTTCTCCAGTTACCTTTTAGCAGCGGCGCTGGAAGTGAGGCAAATACAGTCAACATTCATAGTAAGGACGCAAGGGTGTCCTCAGGATACCGTTGCGCCCCTGCCGTTGCGGCCCGTCCTTCACGTCTTTCACTGGCCAACTCCTCAGGGTGTTGGCAGCCCGCCGCCAAGACAGTGCCAAATTCGGCGTCCAAGGCCCTTGCGTCCTGACCGCCCGTCCTTATTATAGATTCCCATTGTACACAAGCATACGCAGAGACAGGGGCGCGACCCGGGGTCGTGCTCAGGACGGTCGTCATTGTGATCGATGTGTTGGTGAGATCAGGGCAGAGAGATAGAGCGAGAGAGAGATAGAGAGAAAAGGAGAGGGAGGGATGGTTGTTTTCGGTCCCTGCATGAGATTCGAAGGGGGCTGTTCCCGCAAGTGGACATGGTAGCACTACGCTCGATCAACCGACCTATCGATGTCAGGTGCGGCCTTGTACATACGACTCGTAATGACATGCAGACTCTTGCTGCTAGTGCTGCATTCAACGCTGCTACCACTACTGCAACTGCTCCTGCTACGACGACGGCCTATACTACCAGTGTTGCCACCACGACGTCACTGCAACAAATGCCTCACATCCGCTACTGCAGCCACCCTCACTGCAAGCACCGCGAACGGTGGCACTGATGCGAAGACGGTTGATGGCACAACCCTTGCTGTGCGAGTGGTATTGCAGGGACGCCAAATCGGGCGCAAAGGGTCGCTTTGAACAGTCAGTTCAGCACGGGTACAACAGGACGATGGGTATCCAGTTGTTTGTGGGTGGCGAGATGGTACAACCCTTGCTGTGCGAGTGCTATTGCAGGGACGCCAAATCGGGCGCAAAGGGTCGCTTTGAACAGTCAGCTCAGCACGGTTACAACAGGACGATGGGCATCCGGTTGTTTGAGGGCGAGCCCCGCCGCCGTGCCAATCCAGCACGTTGGGCAGCGATTGACAGGAAGCCGCCACGCGTGACATTTGTCGTGTCCCGAGGTGGGGGAGAGTCGTAGCATGTGGCACGATCTTCCGCGCAGTGGTGGTGCTTGGCACGTGTAGGCAGATTGATCGGAGGAGGAGGAGGAGAAAGAGGAGGAGTGTGGGGGCGAGGGGGGGCGAACGCGGTGACGACGGTGGTGCTGATGGTGGCATTGGCAAGGGGGAGGAAGAAGAAGAATAAGAAGAAGGAGGAGGAGGAGAAGAGGACGGCCATTAAATGTGTCACACTTCGTCTTCACGTCTTGGGAAGCGCCACCTTCGAGCTACCTTGGGCTCCAGCGTGGCAGTCTACTTATGTTTAACGTGTGCCCGACTGCGCTCTCTGGCCGACATCGGACTTGTATGGACTACTCGCGTTGGTTGTCACCAGTCATTGCCATTGTTGGTTCGGGGGAAAATCAGATTCCTCCTCGCTCCCTTTGGGCCACGCTGGGCAGCATTGGGACCATCTTGGGGCTCTCGTGGGCAGACTTGGGGCCGCCGGGGTGGTCCTGGCGCGGCTGCCGTGGGGCAGCCTTGGACCGTCGGGGGGGCTCCTTAGGGCCGTCTTGAGGGGCCTGCATTGGGCTGTGAGGCCTCCAGGGCCACCAGGGGCTAAAGACATCCAGAAGGATAAGCCGCAAAAACTTTTCAACCAAAAAAAAACACGTGTGGCGCATGTATGCGCGTAGCTGTACATTCTCACATGCATGCGTCAGTACATGCATACAGACGTACATGCATACAGGCAGACAAATAGAGAGGCATATTGATTGGCAGGCAGACAGACAGCCATACGTACATACATACATGCATGCATGCAACCATGCATGCATACATGCATGCATGTGTAGGTGAACACACACGTATGCACACAGTGTATGCATGCATACATACATGCATGCCTGCAGACATACATACGTATATAGATGTGTGAATGCATCAATGCATACATATCTAGACGTATAAGTATACGTATGCGTGTATATATATATATGTGTATGCGCATACATGCGTGCATGTAGGCATGCATGCAAACCTACATGCACCCATATTCATACAGGCATACAAACATACATATGTACACAAACGTTCATAGATACGTTCATACCTATATACACCCTAGATATATACATGCATACGTTCATGCATACATACATGCATACAAACATACGATCATAAATGCATGCATAAATGCATACATGCATGCGTACACACGTACAAACATACATGTTTATATACAGATCTGGATACATACCTACGCACAGACACGCATACATACAAAAACGAATACACGGGTTCATGCATGCTTGTCTGCACGCATGCACACTTGCATGCATACATACATGCATGCATGCATACATATATACTAACACGTATACATATGTACCTATGCACGTGTGTATAAATATGCACGCGCGCATGCACATACACACACACACGCACACACTATTGCAAGGGCGCTTCGCGCCATGCACATAGGCCCGTCAAGTCTCGCATGCATATAGAGTAAGCAAGAGAGGGAGAGAGGAAACAAGCAAATAAAACGATGGGAAGCATACGAAGAAGAAGTCAACTAATGCAAAAAGAGCCTCGCTCCCGTGTTCGCTATCGTAGTTGCAAGTGTCTTCGTCGTTCTCTTTGTCCTCATTTGTATGATGTACCTTCTCGTTGCGACCCTTCCTTGCGAACCCAGCCATACCTCCCTTATATGTTTCCCAAACCATCTTGTGTGTTGGGCCCTCGTGTTGGATTCGCAGCGCCGCGAGTCTAACTCGTTATCTTCCTCTCATCTCCTCCTTCCCCGCGTTCCTCATTCTCCCTCCTCCTCCTCCTCCTCCTCCTCCTCCTCCTCCTCCTCCTCCTCCTCCTCCTCCTCCTCCTCCCCTCCTCTCCTCCTCCTCATTTTCCTCCGCCTCCTCCTCATCCTCCTCCTCCTCCTCCTCCTCCTCCCCCATTTTTTTCCGCCTCGTCCTGCCCTGGCCAATTCCGCCACACCCCAACGCGCTCAAGCTTGGCACACCCATCCTACGCTTCGTAGCCCCATAGGGAGCTCCACCCAAGGCCCCTGAGGCTGCGTCCGCAACATGACTCGGGTGAATTCCAGCACACCCTTCACACGCCTCGTGGCCCCATAGGGTGCTCCACCCAAGGCCTCAGAGGATGCGTCCGCATGGTGACTCGGGTGAATTCCAGCACACCCCTCACACGCTTCGCGGTGGCCCCATAGGCAGCTCCACCCAAGGCCCCAGTGGCTGAGTCCGCACGAAGACCCGCATACATGTCGATTCACCCCTTACACGCTTCGTGGCCCCATAGGGAACTCCACCCAAGGCCCCAGAGGTTGCGTCCGCAACGTGACTCGGGTCAATTCCAGCACACCCCTCACACGCCTCGTGGCCTCATAGGGGAGCTCCAACCAAGGCCCCAGTGGCTGAGTCCGCACGAAGACCCGCATACATGTCGATTCACCCCTTACACGCTTCGTGGCCCCATAGGGAACTCCACCCAAGGCCCCAGAGGTTGCGTCCGCAACGTGACTCGGGTCAATTCCAGCACACCCCTCACACGCCTCGTGGCCTCATAGGGGAGCTCCAACCAAGGCCCCAGTGGCTGAGTCCGCACGAAGACCCGCATACATGTCGATTCACCCCTTACACGCTTCGTGGCCCCATAGGGAACTCCACCCAAGGCCCCAGAGGTTGCGTCCGCAACGTGATTCGTGTCAATTCCAGCACACCCCTCACACGTCCCGTGGCCCATAGGGAGTTCCACCCAAGGCCCCACGCATGATGACTCGGATCCATTTCGGCACACCTCTCACACGTCTCGTGGCCCTATACGCGCATGGTGATTCGGGTCCGTTTCGGCACACCCCTCACACGTCTCGTGGCCCAAAGGGAGTTCCACCCAAGGCCCCAGTGGCTGAGTCCACACGGAGACCCGAGTTCATTATGACACACCGCTCATACGCTTCGTGGCCACATAGGGAGCTCCACCCAAGGCCCCAGCGGCTGCGTCCGCATGATTACTCAGGTCCATTGCGGCACAGCACTCACACATCTCGTGGCCCCATAAAGAGCTCCACCCAAGGCCCCTGAGGCTGCGTCCGCATGGTGATTCGGGTTCATTTCGGCACACCCCTCATACGCACACACACACACACCGTGACCCCATAGGGAGCTCCACCCAAGACCCCACGGATGGTGACTCGGGTCCATTTCGGTACACCTCTCGCACGTCTCGTGGTCCCATACGCGTATGGTGTTCGGGTCCATTTCGGCAAACCCCCCCACGCATCGTGGCTCCATAGGGAGCTCCACCCAAGGCCCCTGAGGCAGCGTCCGCATGGTGACTCGGGTGAATTCCAGCACACCCCGCACACGCCTCGTGGCCCCATAGGGAGCTCCACCCAAGGCCCCAGTGGCTGCGTTCGCATGGTGACTCGGGTCCATGTCGACACACCACTCACACGTCTCGTGGCCCCATCGAGAGCTCCACCCACGGCCCACCCAAGGCCCCAGTGGCTGCGTCCGCATGGTGATTCGGGTCCATGTCGGCACACCCCTCACACGTCTCGTGGCCCCACAGGGTGCTCCACCCAAGGCCCCAAGCATGGTGACTCGGGTCTATTTCGGCACCCCTCACACGCCTCGTGGCCCCATGGGGAGCTCCACCCAAGGCCTCAGAGGCTGCATCTATATGGTGACTCGGGTCAGTTTCGGCACACCGCTCACATGCTTCGTGGCCCCATAGGGAGCTCCACCCAAGGCCCCAGAGGCTACGTCCGCAAAGTGACTCGGGTCAATGTCGACACACCCCTCGGCCCCATACGGAGCTCCACCCAAGGCCCCAGTGGCTGCGTCCGCATGGTGACTCGGGTCCATATCTGCACACACCCCTCACGCATCGTGGCCCCACAGGGAGCTCCACCCCAAGGCCCCAGCGGCTGCGTCCGCAACGTGACTCGGATGAATTCAGCACACCCCTCACACGCCTCGTGGCCCCATAGGGAGCTCCACCCAAGGCCCCAGCGACTGCGTCCGCAACGTGACTCGGATGAATTCCAGCACACCCCTCACACGCCTCGTAGCCCCATAGGGAGCTCCACCCCAAGGCCCCAGCGGCTGCGTCCGCAACGTGACTCGGGTCAATTCCAGCACACCCCTCACACGCCTCGTGGCCTCATAGGGGAGCTCCAACCAAGGCCACAGTGGCTGCGTCCGAACGGTGACTCGGGCCCATTTCGGCACACCCCAAACACGCTTCGTGGCCCCATAGCTACGCAGCGCTAAAACGTTAGGAAGCTTGATAGCTTGACATTCCGGGAAGGAGCATCGAGGAGCATCTTGGTTCATCTTGCGGAGAAACACACACACACACACACACACACACACACGAAGCCGAGAAATGCACAGGGGGACGGACGTCCGAGCCATGGCAGGAGAGGGAGCTCTTCCAAGGCCCCAGTGGCCAGAGTCCATATCGGCACACCGCTCACACGCCCCGTGGCCCCATGGGCAGCTCCACCCCCAGGCCCCAGCGGCTGCGTCCGCATGGTGACTGGGATCCATTTCGGCACACCCCTCACTCGTCTCGTGGCCCCATAGGGCGCTCCACCCAGGGCCTCAGTGGCTGCGTCCGCATGGTGGCTCGGGCCCATCTTCTCACAGCTCTCACACGTCCCGTGGCCCCACGTACCAAAGGTCTTGGGTCTTTCGCCAGGGCAAAGTTTGCACACCCGGTGGAAAGCCGGCCTACGCCGGCCGGCCTTCTTCGGAGTCCTTGGTTTTGGTTCTTTCGTCGTTCTTCGGGATCCTTGGTGAGGAGGAGGAGGCGGAGGAGGAGGAGGAGGGGGAGGAGGAGGGGGGGGAGGAGGAGGAGGAGGAGAAGGACGAGGACGAGGAGGAGGAGGGGGAGGAGGAGGAGGAGGAGCAGCAGCAGAGAGCGTATCTGCAAAGACCGAAGGTGCAGTTGCTCATCGTGGTCACCACGTGCTTCTTGGCATCCGCGTGCCCCCCCGCTGGCCTCTTGTTCCTTCGCCTTCTCTTACTGCTCCCCCGCAAATCTCCATAATCCTTACAGTATGTCCCTGGTCCTCCGTCTCATTATCCTCGTCCGATTTTCGCTGCTGCTAGTGATCCTCCTCCTCCTCCTCCTCCTCCTCCGCCTCCTCATCATCATCATCATCATCATCATCATCATCATCATCATCATCATCATCATCATCATCATCATCATCTTCCTCCTACCCTGCCCGACTCCGTCCTCCCAAATTGGATCTTGGACGATCACGACGAACAAAGCGGTGTTAGATGTTACGACTGTTGGTATGCTCGACGGCGTTCAGAACGAAGGAACCCCAGTTAAGAATTGGTTCGTCGAAGATCGTATCTGCTCTGACAACGTAGTTGAGCTGGACGACCACGCGCCTCCCGCAAGCTGCTATACACTGGCCCTCACAGCTTTACACTTACGGTATCCAGTTGTGAGTCAGCACTGGACCACAGTCGATCTACAGCGTTTTTTGTATCAGAGACTTCCGCATCGCGCTTGGACCTGCGTCGGGGAGTGATCACTCACGCGCGCGTCATTAATTCTGGGGATAACAATCCGAGAACGTTCCCTTAGTGGAAGCTTGTTTGCTACTGTTGTTGAAGCGATTATCGCGCCATATGGGCTACTGCCCGCAGGGCACAGCAAGGTTAAAGCGTGCGCGGATGCTATCGCAGGCGGTCGCCTTACACTAAAGGCATGTGAAGAGGTGGCCCGAACCTTTTGGCATGGAAGCTGGGCCAAGTGCATCGAGCATCAATCCTAGCGATGCGGTGGAGCCGCGGAAGCAGCCTGGCTGGCTTCAATATATACAAGAGCTTGTGTTGTGTTTAGGGTGTGCTGGTGTTGCCCCGCGGTCCCCTCGGGACGGACTGGGAGGGTCACATGGGTGCACATCGCATTCGCATGCGAGCTATTGTTGACGTGCGCCAGGCTTGACCGCCAGCGAGCGCTGCACGTCTTCTCGTGCGTCGCCCAGCTCTTCCCTTTCTCCTGCGTTCAGGCTGGGCTTGGGCACTCCCACAGTCAACCAGTATAGTAAGGATGGGCAACCTTCCCAAGAGTACCCTTGCATCCTTGCCTCCTCGGTCCATCCTTGGCCACTTTCGTTGGCCGCGCCCCGCTCGAAACGCTTCGAAGTGGGCGTCCAAGGCCCTTGCATCCTTATCGCGCCTCCTTACTATCCGGGTTGACTGTAGCCCGCTGGAGCGTCCAAATGACAAGCCTCAACTCTGCGAAACTCCGCTTGGTTCCCGCGTGGCCAGCTATCGGACCGCCGGGCTCGCTCCGCACGTGCCACCGCGACTGCAGCTCGCACGGGAGCTGCCAGAGTGACCTCAGGAGGCTGACCTCGGGCTTTGCGCCAGCCTCATGGCGGCATCCGACGCCTCGGTCTTGCTCCACATACCTTTTGGGACAGTCTTCTCGCCGTCCCACAGCTCTGGCACGCTCCCCCGATCGCATTCGGCCCCCTGGAGCCCTCACGAGGTGTCCCCGAGCGTCAAGGATTGCCGGCTGTTGAGAGAATGGCTTCTTCGGCCCGTACGGCAGCGGACGCACGCAGTTGAGTTGCATGTACACAAGGTATTGTGTGTTCTGAGCTCCTCTCTCTCGATCGCTTCACCAGAAAGATGAGTACTTCATGGGCTGGCTGCGGGGTGTATGATTGAGGGAAGCCAAAAGGTCGCCCTGACCCAGGCCCCTCCGGGTTGCGCGGAGATCGTGATTCGCGCATGGCGTGGTATCATTGGGGATAGCATGCGAAGTGGTCACGCATCCGCGATCGGGTTTGAAGGATCCGCCCTAGCTCCCAAGAAATTGTGTCGAACTACGTTTGCGATTGTACACCGTTTCACCATCATGGGGCCATCATGTTACGGTCCGATCTCCACACTTGCGTTGTGGTTCGCCGTAGATTGCGAGGCCACTTCGCAGTTTCAGTACCTGTTTGTCTTTTCTTCAAGCTGGCAGCTCCAAGATCCGAATCCCGAGCTCAGCCGCTACCTCACACTCAGGAGGCTGATCTGATCTGTGTTGCCCGCATTGTTTTGCGGATTCCTCTGAGAGGTAGTGGGTGAATTATTGTGGGCATTGGCGCCGTTCGGTTCTTTGCCATTTTCAGCAGGGTTGACCTTGTCAAGCTGTGTTCAGCCGCAGCTCAGTGCAGACCATCGACACTGCTCAACGTTGTACATCCCCTGACTGTCCATCTGCATTCTAATCACTATGGTCAGCAGCAGCGGTATCGTCATCATCCTCATCAGCATCGTCATCATCATCATCAACAACATCATCATCAGCATCGTCATCGTCATCGTCATCGTCATCATCATCATCATCATCGTCAGCATCATCATCATAAGTATCATCGTCATCATCATCATCATCGGCATCGTCATCGTCATCGTCATTGTCGCCATCATCATGATGATCACCATCATCAGCACCATCGTCGTCATCAGCATCAGCATCATACTTTCCCCTCGTCATCCTCCTCCTCCTCCTCCTGCTTCTTCTCCTCCTCCTCCTCCTCCTCCTCCTCCTCCTCCTCCTGCTTCTTCTCCTCCTCCTCCTCCTCCTCCTCCTCCTCCTCCTCCTCCTCCTCCTCCTCCTCCTCCTCCTCCTCCCGTTCGCCCCCCTCATCCTTCCACATGTCCTTGGTTCCCGCCTCCACCTCCTCTCCGCCCGCCTCGCCCCCCATAAAAATGGTATGCAAGTGTATAGCGGTATATACAGATACGCATACATATAGAATATAAACAAATACGCCGTGCCCCCTCCCGGGGCGTCCTCCACCTCGCTCACATCTGGATTTCGTTTCCAGTACCGCGCTTCGCTTCCCGGCCTCCCGGGGAGCTCCCAAAATGCCCAAAGACAGCCCAAGACGACCCCAAGAAGCCCCCGAATTGTAAAAGGCTCGAGACACTCCCAGGCAACCCAGGATAGCTTTCGGGCGGCTCTCCAGGCTCCGAGAAGGCCTCTAAGAGACCTCAAAAGAGCTCCGAGAGGCCTCCCGAGAGCGCCCGGAGAACCTAACATTGTTAATGTTCATTGTGTTTTGTTCATGGTTTTTGGCATTCTCACCACTTCATGCTTCTAACGCTCCAAGACGGCTGAAGAGGCCCCCAAGACCGCCCCAAGACCTCCCAAGAGACCCCCAAAACGGGCAAAGACGGCCCCAAGACTGCCGAAGAGGCGCCCAGGGCAGCTCCAGACCACCCCAGAACAGGCCCAAGATAAGCCGAAGAGCGGGAGCAGGAGGCCGCCAGAGACCTCCGAGAGGACTCTGGGACCCCCAAAGCTCCGACGGGGCCCCAAAACAGCCCAAGAGAGCTTCGAGCCATTCCGAGAGAGCCCAAAGAGGGTAAAATCGTTGATTCCCAGTGGTTCTTGTCGACGTTATTCGCTTTCTCACGTTTTCCCGCTTCCAACGCTCCAAGACCGAGAAGTTGGAGAAAAAAAGGAATTCCAGAATTTTTTTTTTCGGGTTCAACAAATACGCCACCATCCTCCCGAAGGTCCCACACTTTCCCGGAACATCTGCGGAACGCTTCTGGTACCGCGCTTCCCGATCTCCCGGGGAGCCCCCAAAACGTACAAGGACAGTCCAAGACGACCCCAAGAAGCCTCCAGAACGTAAAAGAACGGCCCACTACGCTCCCAAGCAACCCGGGATAGCTTTCGGGCGGCACTCCAGGCTCCCAGGAGGCCTCCAAGGAAGCTTCAAGAGAGCTCCGAGAGGCTTCCCGAGAGCGCCCGGGGAACCTAAAATCACTAATGCCCATTATTTTTGTGCAAGGTTTTTGGCATTCTCACCATTTCATCTTTCCAACGCTCCAAGACGGCAGAAAAGGCCCCCAAGATCGCCCAAGACACCCCCAAGACGGCTCCAAGACGGGCCAAGACGGCCCCAAGATTGCCGAAGAGGCGCCCAGGACAGCTCCAGACCACCCCAGGACAGGCCCAAGATGAGCCCACGAGCGGGAGCAGGAGGCCTCCAAAGACTTCCGAAAGGACTCCGGGACCCCCCAGAGGCCTCCAACACACCCCAGACCCTTGAGAGGCCCCCAAGAAAGCCCCGACGAGGCCCCAAAAATAGCCCAAGAGAGCTTCAAAAGCCGTCCCGAGAGAGCCCGAATATGGTAAAATCGTTGATTTCCAATTGTTTTTGTCTACATTTTTCGCCTTCTCACGCTTTCCCGTTTCCAACGCTCCAAGACCGAAGAATTTGAAAAAAAGGAATTCCAGATATCATTTTTTCTCAAGTTGGGACTCCTACTCCCTATCCTCTTCCTCGAGCCCCAACAAGACTTCGGAGTCACATGTAAAGATGCTTCGGGAATATTGGTGAACTCTCTGACGCTGTCTTGGCACGCTTGTGGATCGTCTTCGCGTCCTTTTGGCTGCCCCTGAAACCACCGTAGAAATCGAGATATGGGGTTGAAACATGTCAATTCCTCTTATTTCAAACTCACCACCTGCTTATTTTTGCACGAAGATCCCGAGAGGCATCCCAACGGGCCGTGGTTTGTATCCAGAAAATGTCTAACCCACAGCCCAGGCACGGCAACTTGAAAAATGGAAATCCCACAATTCTTTTTTTTGTCAAGTCGTCCCCTGCCTACTCTTGCACAACAGACCACAATGAAGACCTCCTTCAGCTCCCAGAAATGAAACCAGGAAGCCTTTGAGGGCCCCAAATCGTTGAATACCTAACGGAAATTAGTGATTTCCGCTTTTCCACAGTTCCGCTCCACGGTTCCGAGGCTTGCGCAGGACCCCCAAGAGAGTCCTTGAATGCAAGAAGCGACAAGGATGATTTTCCATGTGATCGCTGATCAAGCCTAGCTAGAACTTGAGCGCGCGCGAAGCGCGCGATGATTGTAGTATACAAAGGTATGATATATATCCATATATATATATATATATATATGTGTAGATATATGGGC